CTGTATCTGTGACTTGTGAGTTCTTTCATCTTTTCTCTGACTTGTCGTCTCTGTTTCCTCTGATTCTCGAGTTTGAAATTTAGGTTTGTAAATGTAGAAAGGCATGTATTGCTTCTTCGTTTCTGAATTCGATCTTATGTTGTTCTTCTAGCTCCTGGAATTTTCTGGGTTCGTTGTTTTGTGTTCAATCCGGGTATTACTGTGCTGATACAAGTGCTTTGAGTTGTTGTTTGTTCTGATTTAGTGATTTGGAATGAGGAAAACTACAGTTTCGTTGATAAAGTTTTTCGTTTGATTGATGTTGAATCTCTCTAAGGCGATTTGTTGATACCGTCATTTCACTGTAAATGGCATACAAATTTTTGGAATCCCTAGACAGTTGGATTCTCTGAGAGATTGAAAGTTCTCGATAACAAGTCTCACATTTAGAAGTAGTTCAAAATAAGCGTGTTCTCTGAGATATTACTAGTTATCCATTTTGCTTGTTTGATGTTAGCTACAGCGTAAAGATGGCTTAGCTTTGTGTAAAGCTACAGCGTAAAGATTTCTCTTGAGCTGCCTTATGGTTTTGAATGCGTGATTCTCATGTTTCTTATTGACATTTTGTAGCTGAGGTGGAGAAATGAAGCACAACAATGTTATCCCGAATGGACATTTCAAGAAGCACTGGCAGAACTATGTCAAGACATGGTTCAACCAGCCTGCAAGGAAAACCAGAAGAAGAGTTGGTAAGTAGTGTCACCATTTTCCTTTTGTCATCTTCTTTTGGTCTTAATCCTTCTCATTTCTCTGTGTTTCACCATTGTTACACTGTAATCTCTCTGTATCTAACTACTTTATGTGACTTTGTTTGATCAGCGAGGCAGAAGAAGGCTGTGAAGATCTTCCCCCGTCCCACAGCTGGTCCTCTCCGCCCTGTTGTGCACGGTCAGACTCTTAAGTACAACATGAAGGTCAGAACCGGTAAAGGATTCACTCTTGAAGAGCTCAAGGTATGTACCGACTTTTCCTTGTATATTTTTCTTGATGGGTAATGTTGAAATTAATATTTTGTTTCTGATTAATCAGGCTGCTGGTATCCCCAAGAAATTGGCTCCCACAATTGGTATCTCTGTTGACCATCGCCGCAAGAACCGTTCTTTGGAGGGTCTTCAGTCCAATGTCCAGAGGTTGAAAACCTACAAGGCTAAGTTGGTCATCTTCCCGCGCCGTGCCCGCAAGGTCAAGGTACTCCTTCGAACCAAGAGTCTAGTAGTAGCTTATTTAGATTGGATTTCGATCTGATCCCAAGTTGCTATTTTTTGTTATGTGTCAGGCTGGTGATTCTTCTCCTGAAGAGTTGGCCAATGCAACACAAGTCCAAGGAGACTACATGCCTATTGTCCGTGAGAAGCCTGCAATGGAGCTTGTGAAGCTGACCTCTGACATGAAATCGTTCAGGGCTTATGACAAGATCCGTCTAGAGCGCACAAACAAGAGACATGCCGGTGCTAGAGCCAAGAGAGCTGCTGATGCTGAGAAAGAAGAGAAGAAGTGAGGATCCCTTCTTAGGGAAGCAAGTTTTATCTCGAATGGTTTTTGGACCTCTTTATTTTTGTGCATCAGACTTGTTTTTGTTTCGTCAGTGTTTTCCCTTCAAATCTTTGATCTTGCTTTTAGTTACTTCTCTGGATTTTATCCTATCACACATCTGTGTTTCTTAGAAGTTTGTCAAGATTATGTATTTCAAGTGGCCAGAAACATCACTAGGTTCAGAAGTTAAATTTGGAATATTGAAAATGTAGTACATTGTTTTACGGGTTGTACTAGTATTGTTTTTAACACTATTGTACTTTTAAGGATAAGTTACTTTTGTCAACCTTTATAATGTTTGACCCATATTTAAATTACAGAAATGTTAAAATAATTTCAATGTGTAAAAGGAAATCTAAACAAAACATATATTTGTATCTTATCAGTATCGATGACAATGTGAAGAAAAACAGAACTAAATTGACCAAATAAAAATAAAGAAAAGGAGAAATGGGTTTTTAGTTTTGAATTTAAAAGTCATGGAAAAGCATAATGGCATCATCAAGTTTAAAGCTAGTGGAAGAGAGCAACAGCCTCTTAGCTTTGATCTTGTTCAGTCTCTCTTTTAATGCTCCTTCCAGTTTATTCAATGGGAGCAACGTCAACTGTCACAAAAACAAATAACACGTTTATTTAGAACTAGGATCATCTTGGAACCCATCAAAATCTACTTCTTTTGTAGTAATTTCGAAGTGTGACTAACCTCTTTCTCGGAATCTATCTCATGGGTCAACCTGAGACTCAAGTTTAAACAAGCATGATACATCTCATCCAACATTTGCCTTGACACAATCAGCTTGTTTACCTTCCACAATAGGAAGGGTACATATACACCCGTGACCGCCAATTTCTACAACAACAAAAGACAGATCAACCAATTTTCTTTAGTTTGAAACTGATTTGGTTTCATTTATATGCATACCTGCATATGTAAGTATCCATCCTTCCACATCTTCAAAAGGATTTGAGGTGTGTCTTTCTTTTCAGTGAGCGCGGCATCGGCAATCTAAACAGAAAACAACAACTATACAATTGTTTAGAAACCACTACTACCTAAAAGGATGTTTCTATAATATTCAGAAGAAACGAGCTTTAACCTTATCGGTCTCAACAAAATGACCTTCCTGTGATAAGTATCTGAACATTCTGAAAGCTTCTTTCCCATATCTTCTCAAAACTACTGCTTCCATCTAAAAACATCTCATTTTAAGTTTCAGAAAATTTTCAGGGAAAGAAAATAAATATGAAACACACCTCGTCTTTCTGTGCTACGCTGATAATGGAAGTAAAATCTGCAAACGAAATAGCAAAAACAAATTAAAAGGAAGTTTGAATCCAAGTATCAGTTGCCAGATTTTGGATAGAGTTACTATACCAACTATGTATGAATCATCCATTTCTATCACAAATGCTGGTAGATATGAAGACGTTGCACTCAATTGGTCAAGGCATGCTTCAACTCGCTCTTGTAACATAGTGCGACCTGCTTCTGTCTTTATAACCTCTTCATAAATAGAACCAACTGACATTGGAACTGAAAAGAGGATATTGTTTCAAAGACAAAAGAAGCAAATTCAGTTACCCGACAGTGTTTTATAGTTGATTTTTTAGTGGAGAGGTGTAAGATACTGAATAAAAATGAGGGAGCATCTCGGGTATTACCCGACTTGGCGGTTTTCACCTTCTTCTCCTGAGATCTTCCTACTTCTAACATTGCCCTCAAGACAATGGCACATCCTTCATCCCTGCGCTCTTTCACTATCTCCACACACGCCTTAAAAAGGAAAACAGGTGATCAAAAGATTCATAATAGTAACAGAGCCAAAAATATAAATTAGGAGAACAAGACTTCAAAATGCCAATGAACAAGAGCTTTAGGCCTCATCAAACAACAACCTCAAAGAGAAACGCGGGTAACTAACCTTATGTCTAAGGTGGCGGATGAACTCCTCGAAATTAGGACGCCAAATTACTTCATTTCTCGAATCTGATGACTCCACGTCATGTTGCTTACGCTGAAATAAATTTTGAATCAAAGACGAACACCAAAACAAAAGGTATTCAGTGCTACATCATTGAGAAATGTATGCTTATAAGATATCCAAAACTGTTATGGTAAGAAAGAAGAGACCTTCCCCTCGGAGATGTTGCCATCATTGTCGGCTAAAGATGAACTTGAACCTTGTTCGAATATAAGTGGAAACCTTATAGCGTCAACTGGAGTTGCTGCTTCAATAATACGTTCCTCTAAGGTTTCCGGTTCTTTTATAATCTGCATAGCTCACAGAGATTGTTTAGTAATATCGAAAAGAATAAACAACCAAATTGAGAGTCATGTCGCTGCACTAAGAGTATGATAAAACTATAAACTGACATATCCAATAATGCATAGAGCTGTAGTTTTCCTAATGACATAATATATACCTTATCAAGTACCTGGGCAGCTCTAGTGCCTTTTTTTTTTTGACCCGGCTCTTGTTCTTTTTTTCCAATAACAGGTTCGGGAGAAGGAATGCGCTCAACAAAACGGGCAGCAACCAATTTCCGAAGAGAATCTCTGATCACTTCTGAACCTATCGTATTTTCTGAATCTGATTGTGTATGAAAAAACATATGTCAGAGATCAGCATCCACTCGGTTTGACGCATTTTTGTGAGCAAATAAGATGCACAACGACCAAACCCAAGTCATACAATTTGAGCAAGCTGTGGGAATATAGCACAAGAGATACATAAGATAACGGAACTCACCTCTGTCTCTTTCTATCAGCTGTCCCAAGGTAAGCCTACCGTTAGTAAGTAAACCATCAAGAACTGCGCCGCACTGTACATATAGATCAAAAGTATAAAGCTTGGCAAGTAACCAACTTAGTCAAACACTGAAAGAATGATGAAGATGCAGGAATAAAACCTGAGACCCAAGTTCTTCGTTTACAACCCTCGAAAACTTGTTATACCTCACACGATGAATAATGTTGTTAAACAGCACAAAGTACTGTACAATAGCTTTGCTCTCGGAACCAGCTACATGTCAAAAGCATAAAAAAGAAAACTCTCATGATTTCTCTTTTTCTCTGTTTGCTACTAATGACATAGTTGAAGGATACATCAAACCATATAAAATAACTTCAAATTCTTCAAACAAAAGCAAAACAACAGCGCACGAACAAAAGACAAGGAAAATCTAATAAATATAACACCTTTTAAGATAAAATGTACGAACTTGCACTCTATACTGAAACGAGAACGACCTTTGTGTTCATGAATGTGTTGATCTTCAGCGATGAAAACAAGAAAAAACCTGAAACGACTAGTTTCATTTCATGCCAACCAAAACACAGGAAAATGCATTCATTTCTATTCACTATCTTAACAAGTTTCATAACTTTTTAAAACCTCAATGTTACTAATCACAAACCATATTCTACTACTATCCATTCTAGCAGGAATCTAATGCCCCAAAACACAAAATCCAAGGCATATCCATTGCCAAGTAATAACAAAAATTCTACAATCAAATCCCACAACCACAATGCAGTCTGAAAACTGAGTGATTCCAAACTGAAAAGCCAAGCCAAACCCACAAGGAAACCAGACTAACCACGAGGTTCCACAGAAAAGGCTTGAACACAATTATGCTGAATCAAGAGATACAAAATATCCTTGACTTTGTTATGATTGATCTCTGATTCCGAGAAACGAGAGATGTCTCTCGAAGAAAGAGATCCTTTACGAAGAAGACATTCACAAACTTTCTGCAAAGAAAAAAAAAACCCAAACCCATTACAAAGAAATCGTAAATTTCAATAATCTCAGAAAGGGTTTTAAGGGCTGCGGTTTACCGATACGACGGAACCGAACTGGGCGGTGATTATATGAACGGCGTAGACAATTCCAAACTCAGACGTATCCATGGTTTGTCTTCTTTAGCAAATTCGCAAACTTTATCAACGATTGCTTATATAGGAAAACTCCCGAAGAATTAGTGTCGAAATCTTTAATCGGTTTCGGTGACGGCGTCTGCTTTCGCCGGTGCCGGGAGGTTTGATCGTAAAGTTGCCAACTTTTGTTTCTTCGGTAGTGAGTTTAACCTAAAGCCCAATTTGATGCAAATAAAGCCCATATTTATTTCTTCTTTCTTTTCCCAAATTATTTACGTAAGCAAATTTTCCCACATTTGCTCCCAAACCACACTATCGGTGTAACGTGGGTGCTAGTCTAATGGTTAGTTAATTATCGATATAACGTGGGTGTTCGAACCTTCGAGATTATGAGCCTAAGTTATTATTATTATTTTTTATATAAATAGTAAGAGTTTTGAACCTCTGTCTCATAATCTCCTCGTTATCTGGAGGTAATCTTTGGATATTCCAATTTAAAAAATAATCATCCGTACCAAAGAGGGTTTGAACCCGGGGCATAAGGAAACCAACCTTCTTGCACTAGGCCACCGCACCTTTGGTGTTTAAAATTTTATCGATTCATGTTTCACAAATTGGTATGAATTCTATTGATGGGTTTCTCTTTTATCAAATTGGTACAATACTAAAATTCACATTAGAATAAAATTATTCATCTTTAAATTGCTTTATGTTAAGGTTTCGACCAGATAAGGAGCGCTTTCATAAAACATAAACAAGAAATAATGTATTTTGGAGATATTGATGCACAATC